TAAACAGTGTCCGAGAAAACTACAAAAGCGGCGTGGACTCCGCACCAGGGAGGCATTTCGGACAAAGCCAGCCAAAGAAACTAAAATCTTTATTTAGCCGTAACAAACAGATGTCAAAGAAAATTTAAACACTTTTCAACTGTATCTGAAATCAAATCCTATCAGGAACACCCACAGAAGCATGAACCACAGGAAATTATTACTTAGTATGCATGTAACAAACCTGCTTCATGACCTCTAAATGTAAGACTTAGTGCGGCAAAAACGAGATTTACTCAGTCAAAGTTTAGAATGCTACATGCACCGTGTAGTGCTAGTAACGTTCGCGTGATAGAGAAACGAAGAAAAACCTCTGTTCAAGCAGACTCTCAAGGTCAGGTTTCGCATTATCATGAGCTTATGATGTTGTGTTTGGCCTGTCAACTCTTATTTCTAACAGGATATTATTTCACAATTTATGCGAAATAGAATACCCTGCCGGTGGGACGCTGGAACACGATTAGCGACGGCGTCACGCAGACGTCCCTTTCCCGCGTGCAACAAAGGAAATAGGAGACGTCTGCACGCAGGCAACTTGTTCTGGACCTCCAACAGACTCAACGAATTACCGGAAATGCATGTCGAATTTCCCTTCAACCTGACTGGCAAATTAACAATCGATTTTTTTGACAGGCCAATCATCGCGCGTACTCAAATCCTGGTACACAGCTGGGGACCCAGAACAAGGATTTTAGGCGCTGTTTTGCAGACGGACTTAAAGGGACAGGTTCTCGTTCAGCGCATGCTCGGTAATCAAAATGCTGTTTTTTCTGCCGGGACATGCTGTATCGTCTATGAAAGCAATATGATCATGTTGTCAAAGAACCAATCTGGACACTCCCCTGGCAGTCCTTTGATCAACTTATGTACAAAAAGTTGTAAATTAATCCACCATGGAAGAAAACCCTCGGTTCAACAATAAATTCAACGTTGGTAGTGTTGGCATAATCCACTAATTTTTCTGCGATTTTAGTACTCCTCCATCCCACTTCAGGTTACTCTGAAATACTCTTCTACTTTGAAATACACTCTGAGATCGCTGAGATACATGTGAGTGGGATTATTAACCTATAGAATTAATAATAAATTGGAAAAAAAGTAATTTAATTAATGAGCGTGCGCTGAACCGTGAACCTGTCCCTTTAAGCAGAAGTTAATTTCCGTCTGAGGCGCAGGCTACTTTCAACCCAGCCTTTTAAGTGTTGTCAGTAGCCTGTTCACAGGCTATGTTGTCAGTGGACTGCGGAACCCCGTTTTTTTTAACCCTTGTGTTTTACCCCCCCCCCCCCCCCCCCTCTCAATTTTTATAACACAATTTGATTTTTCTCTCCCAGTTAAAAACACAGTTTTTTCCTCCTGCACATTTTTTAACCACCCAATCAACCACTCATTCCTTCCGTAGAGTAAT